AACAACGATCAATTAATTTGAATAACTCGATTTATTGGAGAGAAACTTAATAGGCTAATATAGAATTTTATCATGTTATCTTACATACTCTTTCAGACAAAATTAAGGTCACAAAAATTTGTTCATGCTCATCATACTACATACGTATAAATACTCTCTCGATCAAAAACTCTAATACCATATTAAGAGCTTCTTTAAAATGGAGAGGCTGAGATCAGATGCTGATCTCTTAATTTGGACGCACACTATGGGAATAAGTTTTTAAATGTCCCCTCTTGTTGGCACTCTTGCTAGACAACAACTTGGGAATTATTTTAGTACTCGCGTATAATATACTTCAATCATGATTTTGAAATTTGAACCAACTTGAAATATGTGAATTTTGATTAAGGTTTGAAATGCACAACAATTCAACATAGTACTGCCACTAATATAAAAATTGCAAGCGCTAATCCTATGATAAGCCATCTAATCTCATGTCTAAACACCAGCTCTAGTACCCAAAACTTTTTTTTTTAATATGCAAGTATATAATTTTGATTGTTTTTGTGATATTTCTGTGCTCTTTGCCTCTTTCATGAGTTTGTGTATAGAATATACGATGGTGCTCAAATGAATTGAAAGGAAATTAAAGTGGATTATATAAGAGTACGGAATTAATTAAAATCCAATTGTACAAGTAATGATATAAAACTATGGAGTCGTTTGGAGAACAAGATTTGGATTATGGATTTATTGAATCCATAGATTTAGTAAAATGTTATGTTTTTTTGTTACTTTTGTATCGTGGATTGTAGGTTTAGAGATTTTAAATCTCTAAAATCTAGATCTATCAAATCACTCATAATTAGAGAGATTCTACATCTTGATTTTGGAGATTTTCTTTCTCCTACTATATCTCTTCTTTTTTTTCATTTATCCCACTAAATACCCTTACCAATAAATTCTAATAGTTTTCGAGCCAATCTAATTATGTTGGTTAAGAATAAACATGTCATTTAATACAAAAATAGAATTTCTTTTTTCATCGGATGTTAACAATCGTAGTTACCAAACAATGAACATTTTCAAATCTTTTTTCAACAATCCGGAGAGTTAAAATCTTTGGATTGTCTAGAATCTATAGATTTAGACTTCAATTCTCCAAACGAGCCCTATGTTCCATTACCTGTATAAAAATCTAGATATTTGAAGCAAAGTGACTCATATTCAGCTGTACAGGTAATGTAAAATTTATTTACGATCAATTCTTTTCCTAATAAAACTAGGAATCATTATAGTACGAATTCCTTAGACAATTCACAATCTAAAGTTCCTTTCCTAGTTTGATTACAAGTCTTAATTGGAATAACAAAGTAGAACCTCATTCTTGTTCTACTAGAAATCGTTATATGATTACTGATTATTATCTATTAAATAAAAGACGAATCCTTACATGATAAAAGATTTCGATTCAATAGATAACTATCCCAACCGTAAATAAGATGAGTTTTCCTCATCGGAGTACCAATTTTATTTTATTAAGAATCCTTATCCTAATAGGATTAGGAATGCTATTTGGACTAGGTCATGGCATCATGTTCTACTAACCTCTACTGGTTTTCCCCTCCATCCAACTCCTCCATTATCACCTCACCCTTGCATGGGCCATAACCCTTGGAACAAGCCACATAGTACACAAAATTCCCAACACACAAACAAGCCAGAACCCAGTAGTAGTAATCATAATGCCCCTTGTTAATATTGCTCCCAACCCAGCTCCTCCCTTCTTCCCCTCCATCACCACCACCTCTCGTCGCATGATCCACCATGCTCAACACTAAGCTCGCCACCAAATTCGACACCGACAACCCCATCTGGTACAGAGTTGTGGAGATGCTGGCCATGCTCTTCGGCAGCTCGCTGTAGTAGAACTCGTTCTGTCCAATGTAATTGAACGCCTCTGCAACCCCAAACGGCACGTAGTACAGCAAGAACCACATTGCCGACATGTCCACTATGCCGTTGGGATCGTTGGAGAGCCCCTCGTCGAGCGCCCTGGCTCGACGAATGCTCTCCACTAGGCCTAGTGCGGCCATGGAGACAGAGGAGAGCAGGATCCCAAGTCCCAATCTTTTCTTCAGGGGCAGAGAAATGGGTCTGCCTCTGAGGGTTGAAGCTAGTGGGATGATGACACGATCGTAGAAAGGGACCCATATGAGTAATGTGAGCATTAGGAAGATGCTGAAGGAGCCTGCTGGGATTTCGATTTCGGGAGTGATGTGGCGGTCCATGGTGGCGAGTTGTAGCAGCTGGATGGATTGCTGACACGCTGTGACGGACATTAGCATTCCTGCTGACCAGATGGGGATCACTCGGATTACGGATTTGAGGTCTTCGACTTGTTCTACTGTGCAGAGGCGCCATGGATTCGTTGGTTTGCCTTCTTGGGTTAGATCTTGTTCAGGGTGCTGAATGATGCAGGCCTTGTTTAGAAACCTCAAATTCTCAGTTGGTTCTGAATTCATTATTGCAGCATTGGAATGGTGGTGGTGGTGATAAGCTAGTGTGGTTGATTGAGGTGGCTGCAGCTTGATACTTCTCTTTGTCCAGGCAGCTACAACAACTTGAGCAAGTTCAGTGACCAAGCTTGCTTTGGCTGCTGGCTTCACGTAGAATGGAGAAGCCAAGAAGAAGGAAAGTGCAGACAGTACCATGAGCACCACACAAACTCCAAAACCAGCACTCCAACCAGCTGAATCTTGGATGTAAACTATGACGGTTATGGCCAACAGAATCGAAATCGATGTGGAAATGTAGTACCAGCTGAAGATGCTCTCTAGCACTCTTGATGTGCTCCTTTTGGTGTTTCCCATCATCTGATCAGCACCAAATGCCATGCAGGATGATCTCATGCTCCCTGAACCGATCGAGATGAGGCCTAACGCCGCGTATAAGAACAGCAGCTGTGGTGTCGTGGCTCGCAGTCTGCAGCTGTCTGTGGAGTCGGGATCAACACAGGGTTGAGGCCTGGCTTCTGGAATTGCAGCTGTTAGCCATAAGAGAACATTTCCCTGCACATGATCGAAGAATCAGTTCGTCTTAATAATTTGAATTGATGCTTTGAGAAATATTTGAAAAGAGGCCCTACCCTAGTTGATTGATATGATTGTGTCAGCATCTTAAGCAGGCTTGTTCCCTAAAAGGACAGGGAATCTAAGGAAGAAGTGCAGACAGTAGCAGTACCAGAGCAGACCAATTATTGGGACTCTAGTTTTCATTTCTTCATATATTGGTCAAACTGTTCTTCCTTTTCCCTGTAGAAATATTCCCCATGTCAGTTTCTGTTCCTGAGGTAACACCTAGTGAGTTTGATAATTTGAAAGCTTATTTATGTGTAATGGTGAACCGACTACTTCTGTTCCTACTAACAATAGACATTTGATGATCTCTTTTAATCTTTGTCACTACATTTTATGTCGAGTTCTTGTCTACATTTCCTCCGCAATATGCCTTGTACTATGTACTGACCTAAGCGTTGGAGTGCAAATTTAATCTACACCGAGAGAGACAGAAGCGAAGTTCGAACAGAGCTGGAACCGGGATCCAAAACTAATAATGCTTGACTGTCTCATCAAAAGACCAGAGCAGAGAGGAACCATGTTCTTACCAGAATGGAAGCCATGGATCCAAAGCCAATCATCCAGTAGCGACCCACATAAGAATCAGCAAGAAAGGCCGCGATAACAGGGGTGAAGTTAATAGCAGCGGTCCATATGAACATCACTTGGGCACCATCAGCATTTTCCAGGCCATACTCTCTCGTCAAGTAGAGAATCATCGATGCACCGAGACCGTAAGTCACCACTTTCTCCATTCCATCAGTTACTGCAATGCAGTAAGAAGGCATTAATGTAACTATTAACACCAGAACATGATGCTTTGTAAAGTAGCCTAAATATGTTACCTATGATGAAGGGCAGGGCCCTGAAGCCACCCTCTGCAAGATGATTGTTGTTACAGGAATTGACCAAAAATGGCTCTAACCGTGAGCTATCCATTTTGGTTTCAGCTGCCCAGGGAGCTCTGTCTGTGCTTCTTTTACTGTGGGAGATGGAGAAGAGTTCGTGATAAAACCAGTAAAGATTTTGTTCTTTCCAGGTGGTATTGGTTGGAGAAGTAATGCAAATGTAACCCACGTTGAAGCTGACAAACTTGTCTGTGGTCCAAAGTACATGGAGCTAATATTAAAGGAGAGATTAAGGTTAAAACAAATATGCAAACAGCACGTGGTGGTGAAGCAACAACCCACTTCAAAGGGATTCCAGAACACTTTCAATACATCTCGAGTTCATTGCCACGTCACAGTTCAAATCCTCGTATGATTATTCGTGTTTTCATTGATTTTGTCGTTTCAAACTCTTGTCGAAGTTAGTGGCACAAACAGTATTGATCGAATATGAAATTTTGAAAGACTGATTGCCAAAACAAGTTGGGAATGGTCTAAGATGTCCCTTTTGAAAGTGTTGAAGACATGATGAGATTTAAAGCAGGCAGGTATGGAAAAGCAGAATATATTTCAGGAAAGATGCAACTCCAGGTGGGTCTGCTGCTGCCTTGGAGTCATCAAAACAGCAAAAAAGCAAGAACTGCTTTTTCCTTTCATCCTGGTGTTGCTGTGGGTGGTTGATCATGGGTTTCGAACTGTGGACCTCTCAGGCATGATGATTATCGACCTTCAACCCGTGCAAGAGGGAAGCCAGCACCATTTGGTTAAAGCTGGTTAAGAAATCAGAAGAAAAATAAGTGTACTACAGTACAAGGCTTTATACTAGTGGCCAAATGATGAAGGCCAACTACACCAGCAGCAGCTCCAAAATCCAGCCTTAAGGGAATTCGAGACAAGCTTTCTATCTTGCATTATGAGATTTGTTCTGAATATGGTGCCAAATATTTTGTTCTTTTGGAGTCGAGAAAAGGAAAAGGAAATCAGTCAGCAGCACTCATCTGCTGCTGTCATGGTACAAGTCAAGGCAGAAAGAGAGGGGGAATAAAGCCACCAAGTCCACTTCTCATTCACCATAATTACTGGCTTGCTTCCACTTTTCTTCCTTTTCTCCCAGCTTTTAAAAGCCTTCCATGTACTAATAAAGAAATGGAAAAAAGCTTGCACTTAGCCTAACTTGGGAGCAAGAGCCCCTCTCCCTTCCTCATTCTTGTGCACAAGCAAAATTCAATATTGGTTGAGCAACAAGGTAGCAGCATAGATAGTTGAGGCGTTGGACTCACCTGATAGACGTTCTAAGTCTCAACTTGGTATCTTTCTGCTAAAATTTTCTTACAACCACTTGATCGACGAAACTAAGAAGATGCTAATCGCCCTTTCTCATGAGGTTATTGACTATTCATATGGACAGAAACAGAAAAATTCACCTCGATAAAGAACGTAGAACTAAATAGTATCTGCAGATTGCATTTGAGTACCAGTAAGGAGCGGCGGACAAAACCCACCCTCAACTTATTCCCACGACCTTGGTAGATTACAGGTAGAAATGTCATCCTTTAACCTGATCGGAGACGCTGAGTCGAAAACCTGCGATTACAGGTAGAAATGTCATCGAACGGAACACCTAAGTATGTCAAAAGGCTAAAAAAAGAAACAAAAGGTTGAGTTATAGTGGGAAATAGGGAGAGTGGAGAAACAACCCCACCTATTTCCTTATTTTTTCCAAGTGACAATGGTAAGTGGTAACAAAAGTGAAGTGAAGCCCCCCCACAGCCATGATTATTCCCGCCGCTTACAAAAGAGTCGAACCCATACCAAAACCCTTCTGCTACTTCAGTCACACCAGCATATAAGGGCCTTCGGCTATGATATAAAGGCCAAAAAAACCAACCTGACCTGCAATCTCCTGCCACTGCCCCCAACTTCTCCCACTCCATAGAATATATTCCTGCATTTAAACACAAACATCCTGCATTTCGCCATGAGAAGTTGCACCAAAGCAACCCTGACACTTGACCAAGAAGAAGGAGAAGAACCAGAAGAGTCCCCAGGACTCAGCACAACAAGAAGTAAGTAAGAGTAAGAGCTTAATGGCATTATATCAAGGGGTTCCCTCTTCTAACTTCTTTGTTTGTGACCTTTTGCTTGATCAGTGAGCTCTTGCAGCACAAAGAGCCTGCTGCAGAAGCTAGAGAACATCGACGAGAACACTCCTGCTGCCTGGGTACCCCTGCCATCATCATCGTCATCTGCTGCACCCCCTGAGACACCCACCGAGTCCATGGAGTTCCTAGCTAGATCATGGAGTCTCTCTGCCATGGAGCTCTCCAAAGCTCTTTCCACTGGTGGCACACCGCATCAGGCACCCCCTCCTCTTCCGGGTAGTCTCCACAAGTCGGTGCCTCCAGCTCCTCCAGCTTCTTCTGCTGTTGGAAAGGAATCTGTAAGAACAAAACAAAGTTTGAAGTGATTCTGTAAGCACTGAGATGTTTACATCGCTTGTATTGTTGGAACTGAAATTCTTTATATTCAGCAGTTGCCTAGTGCTGGTACTGGCAGTCCCCCTATATCTCCAAGAGACAGTGAAGAACTCAAGGTAATCTCCTCAAAGCAAACACCTTTGCTTGTTAATATTAGAGTTGAGAAATGAATTGGGTTTATGGGTTTCACGGTTGGGTTAAAATGGGTTCATGGGTAAAGGGTTGGTGGTTCGTTGGGATCAAAGGCACTCTCATGAAAATTTGAAATGCTTTGTAAAATCCTGAAATTTTAGGTACAAGACAATAATTCTTAGATCCCAAATAATAAATTCACCGAAACCATTCAACCTGACCAAGAAATTGGACCAATCTGGGTAGGATGGAGTTTAAGTGCATTGAGTTGATTGGTTAGCATTTCCCACGTCTAATGCTATCATAATCACTTGTAAGAGAAATACAGTCTGTGCAGGAGTTACTTCTACTTCATCAAGCACTGAACCCAGAATTCATCTACAGTCAGCAATTGCTCAAACATGGGGTACCTTGTTTAACTTGCAACCTTTAGCATCCAAGTAATCTATATTTTGTCTCTCATGTTATCTAATGGCTTGATAACATAAAAAACAGTTATACAAGAGCATCATGAAGGGTAAAACGATGGGGAGAAGGCTGAAGGATCATAAAGAGAGGAAGAAGCAGGAGATCAGAACCCATAATGCCCAAGTTCACGCAGCTGTCACTGTAGCCGGAGTGGCTGCTGCTGTCGCTGCTATAACTGCCTCGAATGCCATGTCAGCAGAACTTGCAGCAGCAAAAGGCGAGACAGCGGCTTCCAAGACGCCAGCTGCAATGGCATCAGCGGCGGCTCTTGTGGCGTCTCACTGCATTGAGATAGCAGAGGACATGGGTGCTGAACATGAACAAATCATGACGGTTATTGACTCGGCGGTCAACGTGAGGACTAACGGGGATATCATGACTTTAACAGCTGGTGCAGCTACAGGTATAAGAATGTCATCAATCCCCAACACAACAAACCATGCACCCACTCAATTTGCCACATCTATTTCATTGCAATAAAAAAAAACAATAGAGAAGATTCAGAATAATGATATTGCATACAGCTTTAAGAGCTGCTGCGACCCTGCGAGCAAGGCTGCAGAAAGGATATGGAGCCCCAGCACTTCCCTTGACAGAGGACATGGATGAAGAAGGCAAGGAGTCTAAAATCTCAGCAGCATTAAAATTTGTCACCGAAGGGGAAGAACTTCTCAAGCGGACAAGGAAAGGTATGCTACTTCACATTTGTATCAGATAGGGAAAAAACGAATGTAAACTAGCCTTGAGAAATGAATACATATTGATAAACCATTGATGGCAGGAGCTCTACATTGGAAGCGAGTTTCTTTCAGTATCAGTACAACTTGTCAGGTACGAAAGAAAGAAATATATCAAAAGGATAAAAGTAATTGCTACACTGATTAGCATATCCCAGAGTGTTACAAGCCCCTAACAAAGGTTTTTTGTTGATGTACTGACCAAAAATAGGTGGTGGCTAAAATGAAAAGCAAGCACATGGCAGGGACATTCACAAAGAAAAAGAAATGTGAGCAAATTTCTCAATCTAAGAAAAGTAAAATTATTACCTTGCTCTCTTATGGTTGATTGACCAAACTTTACGATGAATCTGCAGGTGTTGTGTTTGGAGTTCAGACTGAGGTGGCAGGATGGCCAGGGAGGGAGACAGACGACTGCAGCGAGCAAAGAGCTTATTTTGGGATTAAAACATCAGAGAGAATAATAGAGTTCGAATGCTGGAGTAAAAATGACAAGCAGATGTGGGTTGAGGGGATACAGCATATGCTCAGCTGCCGAGCTAAAGTTGCATGAGTTCTAAAACAACATTATAGAGTTCCCATTTGGAACTTCAGTGTCATGTATCAGAAAAACGGTCAAAGGGTTTACAGCAATTGTTAGTCACGAAATGTACAGGTGTTTGGGTATAATGGTAACATTTCTTCCTTTAGAGGAGTTCAAAACCATTAATCAGAAATGGCAAGGAATGTTTGTTTGATAGTTTTGGCTTATTGGATTAACTCAGCTGCGGCTTCAGCTCACTCCAGTTCTCTGAGAAAATCCCCATTATCAACAAACACCTGCAAGGAGAAAGGCATCAATTGATTTTAGCTTTACTGCTCTCATAATCATTCATCGAATCAAAGAATAACCTTTGAACATATTCAAACATAAAAAGAATAAGGAGTATCCCCTTAAAGATACTGGATATAAGGAGTATCCCTTTAAAGATACTGGATCTCAAAGAGATTAGGAAACAGTGTTTTCATTCTTACTATTCAAGCATGAATCAAGGTCCATTGGTCGACAAAAATGAGTCAAATAGCCAACTAAAGTAATGACAACTTAAAGAGAAAGCGTGCGGGACTAAAGAAAACTAGAAGATTTACCCATTTCCAACCCTCAGGATCCAAGCAAACAGTAATCTTGGTGTTAATACCAGGCAAGGGCCCAGGCTCCAGAACAATGGCTCCACCACAGAGTTTGATTGCTTCAGCACTCTTATAAACATCATCTGTCCCTATTGCAATCTGGTAAATACACGACAGTTAAACGACATCTCTGCCAAGCAATGGAAAATAATATTGACAGAATAAACATATCCTTTTACCTGTGCATAACCATTTCCTTTGTCATATGTGTTGATACCATAGTTATAGGTCAGTTCCAGCACCACATTATTGTCTTCGGGACCATAACCCATATAGGCAACTGTATACTGAGAATGCAGAAGAGCCACACGCACAAAAAAGGTCAGCAATGTTGTTAAAGTCAGAAATTTGCAAGGGTATCAAAGAACTTCAACCAACGCTACCTTGTCATTGGGGTAGTCCCGTTTACTTAGAAGCTCCATTCCAAAAGCCTTTTCAATAGAGTGGAAGGATGAACATCAGCAAAAATCAAGGCATTTCTCAAGGCAACGCAAGCACTGATTTGACCCTGAATGCAAATTACCTTCTTATAGAAGTTAATGGATTGATCGAGATCACCAACTCGAAGCATAACTTGGCACAATGGTTCACGTGCAGGCTTCCTCTTCAATAGCTCAAAGTTGTAACCATCTGGGTCTTTAACAAATGCAATTACTTGATTTCCTCCTTTGACAGGACTAATTCTTCCCCCTTTTGCCTTAACGAGATTCACAGCCTTCCCAACCTATAATCCAGAAACAAGAGAATGCAAACACTTCCTATGTTCATAAACTTTTGTTGCATCAAATGCCAATTAATACCACTGAGCAGGGGACCTTACATCGTCGACTGCAATGCCAAAATGACCGAAACCAGATCCAATGTCATACTTGTCAACGCCATAATCTGCACACCAAAAGCCAGCAATGACTAACCAGCATGGATGCACAATTTCAGAAAGAGTCTACAAGTTTGATAGCCTACTGTAGGTAAGTTCAACAGCGAAATTCGATTCTTCAGGGCCATATCCAAGGAAGGCATTTCTATATCTATCTTCTGGTATATCACGTTGCCTCAACAGCTTCATCCCCAAGCACTCAGTATAAAATCTGATAACGTGAAAAACAATCACACATAACATGTCGTCAATCGAACTCGGCAAGTAGCATCAAAAAATTCCATAGCAGAGAATTAGTGTAAAAGATGCGAACTTTATGGTCTTGTCCAAGTCCCCAACGCGGTAAACAACATGAAGCATTCTCCTTTTGTCGTTCTTAATCCACTCCAACAACGCATTAGGGTCATCGAGAATAGGAGTTTTTTCTTCTGCAATTGCCTTTTCAACCGCTCTTAAACCCAACAAATGCGACTGAGGAATAGCTGGATTTTCAAAACACATGGACTTCAATGTACAAAATTCCCCATTGTTGCAACGAAGAAATAGAGAATTATCTGAACTGGGAGCAAAATAGAGGATGTGGTGAATAGGGTTTGTAGTCTCACCGGCGCCGAGTTGAAAGAGGGCGAGTCGACGAGATGGGTTGGGGACGGTGGTCGGAGTAGCATTAGCTCGGCCGTCGTCGGAGATGGAAGAAGAAGAAGAAGAAGAAGAAACCTTTAAGGAACGAGCGCGGAGAAGCGGGATGGTGATGGCGGAGACGGTGAAAACAGAGTAGTAAGAAGATGAAGACAACGGCATTGCATGTGTTGTCGACATTTTCTTTATCCAGTCCGGTGCTTGCTTGCTTCCTCCAGCAGTCCAGCTCCTCCTTCCTACTCCGTGTTCCTCTGGGCTTATCCATCTTACCCTGATTAATCAAACGACGGTCGACAATCGTGTCTCTCAAAATTAGGATACCAAAATGAAAACGCTTACTTACGCAATAACTAGCAAACACCCGTTCACTATCGCTTCGCGTATTACAAAGGTAAATATTTTAAAGAGTAATAGTTTTAATGTTGACACGAAAGTGAAAGTAATCTTATTTCATTTAATCATTCTTTTCATAAGTTTTTGATTTACAATAGTATATGTAGGGATGGCAATGGATCGGGTCGGGGACGGATAGTGCATATCCGTTACCCTACCCAAAGTAGTTCGGGTTGTACCCATGGCCATACCCACATAAGAAACGGGTAGAAAATCCAAACCATGCCCATACCCGTTCGGATTTCGGGTATCCACGGTTATCCATGGATAATAGTTTTTCTTTATAACTCCAACCAATATGTTAATATTTACACGTATTCTCACGTTACGTAAGACGAAAAGTACGACAATAATTCACTAGAATGAAGAAAATTAATTAAAACAACATAATTTCATAAACAAAATTATATTTATATGCTAAATATAGTATGTTAGAGAAAAATATTGATTATTTCTAGACAAAATACATATGCATGTGTATAATCGGGCGGGTTCGGGTTGGATAGTGAGAAAACCATGCCCACCCATTACCCGCAATATTCGGGTTCGGGTTTTACCCGAACCCACTAAAAGTCCTTCGAGTTCGGGTTTTACCCTACCCGATTAGGTCGAATTCGGGCGGATATCCACGATTACGGATATTTTTATCATCCCTAAGTATATGGTCGATGAACTTACATAAAGTAGAGGGGTCGTCGAATAGATTATTTATGTTTAAACTTCTTTCATGACGCTAATGTTTCAATTTGTATGGCTTTATTTTTTTGGGTTTGAGGTAATTGCGGTTCTCATTTATAAATTTTTTGGACTGATTGCAGGTTTGATGAGGTTCACCTCGCATTGATCGAGTCAAATTAGGTTGGATACCCATGGATTTGGGTTCAATTGTCTTTCTCAAACAAAAAAAATAAGCGAAATGAAAAACACTAAAGCTAAAACTTGCTACCGACTCAAAAACTAATCTAATATTTTGTAAAAATGATCGGTTAGAAAATATGAGAACGTAATGGGATATATTAAAATGTAATAAAAAAAACTTTACTTGAACAAAATATTTTATTTCGAACCGTACATCGGTATCCTTTAGCATCAAGAGACAAGAAGATAGAAATTCAAATATGGTAGATGAATTATGACACATGATCGGGACATTATTAATAGTTAAGATAATCCTCGAATCATCAAAAGATGATCGTTCTTAACATCTTTAGTGTTGTTAGGACGATCGTGTGCGATGTATGATCAACTACTAATACTTTAAAGCCCATAAAACAAAACATTTTTCCAGTTTGCTACTTGCTTGCTTCTTCCGGCTCCTCCTTCTTCCTATCATCTATCTTACCCAATATGCATCAAACAACGGTCGACAATCTCAAACTTAAAAGGATACAAAAATGAAAAGAATTACTTGCAAAGTAAAAAAAAAGATTAACAAAATACTCTCAAATGACATTAATCAAGAAATATAAAATTATGTAAATTTTGATATATTTCATGAATCTCGAATATCTCAATTCTCAAGGACATGTGCATGATCAGTCACGCTATAGTATGTGATTATTGACTCATTGTGTATCTTTCTATTATCTTAGCAGCTTAGAATTCAAAACTAATGAAATATTTTGTACAGCTGATCGGTTAGAAAAGACGAGAACATTAAGGAATATACTGAAATACAATCGTTGCAACTTTACTTTCAACAATATACGTTCGATCTATTGGCTTCATATATTTTGTGTCGTTTACCACTACAAAGTTAGGAGGTCAAACTTGGTAGATGAATTATAGCCACATAATAGAAACATCATTAAATATTCAAGATAATCCTCGAATCATCGAGACGGTAGAGGATCGTTGTTAACGCCTCCAGTACTATTATGATGATCATATGCGATGTATGACCAACTATTATTTTTAAACAATTATAGACCTATTACATAAGTGATGCACCGAATCTTCGGCTGAAACTCGCACATGTAGCAACAATCACAATTCACAAAGACAAAGAAACAAGACAGCAGTACAGAAAGCGGTGGTGGCGGGCTATAAGCCCTATAATATGAAAACCGGCCTACACCAGAATTATGGACATATCACCCACTCACAAAGTCACAAGTCAAATTTGCCCAAGGGCATCCACGTACTTTCCCCACTGAGCCGAGGTCAACTTCCATAAGGGCATCCACGTCCTTTCCACCAACGTAATTATTTTTTGGGCGCATGATGATGATGGATGGTGCTGAGGTGTAATGGTGAACTTGTGACTGTAACGTGCACATCAATAATTTCACTTCCCTTTTCCATCTCGTCGCCTACTCTCTTCCTCCATGTTTATATAAGCCAATGCCACTCCACCAGAAACCAAGCTGTAAAGCAGAGGAGGAGAATAAGAAGAAGAAGAATATTCTCTCTTCCTTTTTCGTCATCTTCTGCTTCGAAAACCCATTTTTTAATATTAAAAATGGCGAAAATTGCTTTGGGATGTTGCTCGGAGGTGACCAAGCCGGATTGCATCAAGGCCCTCGTCGTCGAGTTCATCGTCACCTTCCTCTTCGTTTTCGCCGGCGTCGGCTCCGCGATGGCCGCCGGTACGTGTGTAACATATATATACATCAATAACTCGTCGCTAATGTTTTCACACACACAAAAAAAAATCGCCGCTAAAGCTAGTTATTATGAAATATGTTGGTCACTATAGCTTTGTTAAATATTAATAGCGACGAAGAAATGTTTTTTATGATTATAACATACATGAACAAGTCGTCGCTAAAGCTAGGTATTATCATATTAATAGCAACGAGGGGGAAATTTTTTGATGATTTGGTGACGACTGGTCGCAGATAAGCTAGAGGGAGGGGCGCTGGCGGCGCTGCTGTTCGTGGCGGTGGCGCACACATTCGTGGTGGCTGTGATGATCTCCGCGGGCCACATCTCCGGCGGTCATCTCAACCCTGCCGTCACCATAGGCCTTCTGTTCGGCGGTCACATCACCGTCGTCCGATCGGCTTTCTACTGGGTTATCCAGCTGCTCGCTTCGTCGGCAGCCTGTTTGCTTCTCAAGTATCTCACCGGAGGATTGGTACGTTCATTTTTATTGACTCATCTACCAAAGTAGATAGATTTTCCAAGCCAATTTGTGGCTCCAAAAGATTTTTCCCTATAGAAATCTATTTTCTACCACTTTAGAGATGGATCTTGGACCAAATTTGGTTTTGCAATTTTAACCAATTCCATTTTATCATTTTATATAGCTGTAGTTTATCTAAAATTCGTAAAACCTTATCACAAATCAAGATAGTTGCTCAAGAATCAAAATTCTAGCTAGTACTTGTTACAATTATGATATTTTCTCACCAATATCTTAATTAGCTAAAAAAATTCGGTGATTCTGTGGTGTTTATTGTGATCCGTCGTTATAACCACGTCAAACAATAGTTCGTGAGATTATTAGTGTTATTCGTTTCGATCTAGAACTATCAATTTAGCAATATAATTCATATATGAATACTTTGTGAGTTTATGATACTTTTCTTTTAATTGAATTTGATTTTTCGTTTGCGATATTTTACATATTAAATATCGAGAAACTCATTTAGTGACGCAAAAGACCCACCATTATCGATCTAAATTTAACATGTTTTGGTGGGTGCTGCAGGTGACGCCGGTGCACACACTGGCAAGTGGAGTTGGGTACGGGCAAGGCATAGTGTGGGAGATAGTTCTGACCTTCTCCCTACTCTTCACAGTCTACGCCACAATGGTTGACCCCAAGAAGGGCTCACTCGACGGCTTCGGCCCACTGCTCACTGGGCTCGTAGTTGGAGCCAACATCTTGGTTGGTGGCCCGTTCTCTGGGGCTTCGATGAACCCAGCAAGATCTTTTGGGCCTGCTCTCGTGGCTGGAGTATGGACCGACCACTGGGTTTACTGGGTTGGGCCTCTCATCGGCGGTGGGCTTGCTGGCTTTGTCTACGAGAACCTCTTCATCGTCAGATCTCACATCCCCATTTCCAGCGAAGATCCTATTTATTAACTGCGGGGAGAGCAGTACAATATTTGAGCGAGGCAGCAGTAAAAAAATGGTGTCAAGTTGCTGTGGACTATGATTGTGTAAGTTGTAGTACGACGTCGTGCAATCGTTTTGGTTGTGGTGGTAATTACGTACCTTTAGTTTCGTGTAATAATTACCATGTCAGTATGTACTCTAGCTCTACCATTTCATCACAAGACAAGAGTTTACATGAATTCTGGTTCAGTAAGTTTTGGTTATTGGTTTCACCGTTTCAGAGAAAAGGGATACAACTTATAAGAAGCAATATTAATGAGGTCCAAACATGAGATTAGAAGACAACTATTCTACATCGAGAAACAAATATTAGTAGCAATTTATTGAGGTGAACATGGAAGGACGTTCAATATCGTCACTAAAAAATTAATTATTTGTAGAATGTTCGTATAGAAAGAGGCACTTTCTAGCATTAGCATGTTCCATAAGGCTTTTCCTATCAACATGCATATCCTCAAATGACTTACCGTACTCAAGGGTAGGGGTGGCTATACGGTCCGGTCCGGTTAAATTGGACCAAATTGATCCGGTCTCAGTCCGGTCTTTTCGGGAATATAAGGACCAAAGATTGGATTGGATACAGTCCGGTCTTGATCCAGTTCGGTCCCAACTTTATCTTGATTTTAGGTGTTGGGGGTCTCTTATCCGGTTTTTTACCTCAAATCTAAGCCCGAGTATGAGATTGCATTGTTTGCTATCCAGTCCCAATCCGGTCCCGGTC